TGCATTGCTGTATAGAGGTAACTTGTGGCTGTGAAGCTAAACACTGTGACACTGATGAGCCAAATATGATAGTGGTTACCCATGGTGGACATTGTTTGCTGGAGCTTAAAACAAGCTTGGAAGCAGGAGTGCCATCCACTTCCAAAACTGCTTGCCTCTGGAAACTATATAAACTTGGAAAAACTATGAAAGTTATACAGTTGTTCAGGTCTTTCATTCATAGGATCGCTACGAGTTGTCCGAGACTTGATGGCAGTTAACAACAACAAAACAACCACTTTACTAAGTTCCATTTTAACTAACATGACATAAAAACTATCACAAAGATACTAAAAATTGATATTTTTTCCTACAAATTCTAAGGTAATAAGTTGTTTTATTTTTTCTCTCTGCAGAGTTTGATACTTTTATCAAATTTTTCGCTCTCTGCTGAGGATGATAAGGATAGTTTGTCCTTGTGTGATAATTTATAAGTAAGGCAGAGGTCCAAAGAAGATAATTATTGAATTTTACAGGACTAAAAACAGGAAGAGTAGGTGAATTATTTTTCTCCAAAAGCCTTAGTAATAAAAAGAAACAAAACAAAGCAAATCCCACAGCCATTAGATCAAGTCCAACACATGACATATTCGTAAATCAGGTTTCCAAGGCTATTATCTTTACTGGAGAATCTTTCTACCATGGAATTCCACGTATATTTGAACCAATGACTTTAGAGCTAGCAACCTTGTAGGTTACACAACACCAGAGCATCTTCTTAGCTGAACTGTTAAAGCCAAATCTAACCACACTAATAATGAGTTAATTCTGACTCTATCAGATTTCAGAGGTTATACATTTCAGAATCATCTCAGGAACAGGTTTGAGGCCTTGAACACTAATAAGCGAAGACCTGATGTGTTGTGGGAGGATGTCAAAGGTGTCATCCAGGAAGAGTGCAAACGGTCATTACAAAGACAGAAGAGGAAAGAAAGACCAAAATGGATGTCAGAAGAGACTCTGAAGATTGCACTGGAGCATAGAGAAGCCAAAGCACAAGGA